ACCAATTGCTAGTATTATCTACATTCACTGCATCTCTCTTATAGTCAACTTAGACTTTCTAAGTGCCAAAAGCAAAAGGAAAAAGCAGACCATAAACAACTAAAACATTGCATAAAGTTTGTTCTAAGATAATTGCCTCAGTTTGTTAAAAGAGGTTCCTCATCATTTTGCTATAGGACTGGATTTCTCATTTAGAACTACTTTTTTTATGGTAGACCGTGCAATAAGACTATAAAAACACTGCTTAATCCACACCAGTTTAATCCACTCAACAATTACCGGCATAATATCCATATAACAGAACCTCCCATTAGTTTTTTTCCCCTATAAGAAAAAAAAAAAGAAGTGGCAGTATCTTCCAGCGGAAAACTCCAATTACTTCAAAACAAATAAAGGTTCCTAAAATTAGTAGAAACAGTAGCGGATATTCTTGTAAGATATAACTGGCGCTTACCAAAAGATAGTAATGCCATTTCTTGAAACGATAATATATCCACCGAAGAGGAACAAAGATGACATAGAACAAACAATATACATAAGGTATATCTTGAGGTCCTGAGAATTGAAAATCCACAGAGAATGAGAAGAAAAAAATAAACAAATCAACAAACGCCTTAAAAATAAATTCCAATCACTCCATCAATCAATTTGCTTCACTCACTCGCTCCCAAAAGGAAACAGAAGCCCCCAAACCCAAGAACCCCAAGCAGATGAGTCACCTGAACATTTGAAAACAAATCATTGTCGAATTAAAACTCCAAGTCCAGTATGATAGCATACAAGACTAAAAATGTAAAATCCACAAAATTTTGCAATTCTGTAATACCTAGCATGTTAGCGTCGTAGATTGACTGGACTGAGAGCTAGAAAAATCCCACGACGCTAATTTGTTTTAAAAACGGGGCAAACATACCTTATTGATAAATCTTTCATGCTCTTCGGCTTGTTTAGCGATCTTAATTGCCTGCTTGGACAGGATCTCCTTAGTCTGTACGGCCTGTTTCGACAACATCTCCTTCGTTTGAACTACTTTCTACAAATCCAAACATACGCAGATCGAGAATATTAAAGAGATAAAACTCAAAAGTCGATTAAAACACCTAGGAAAGTGAAGCATCGATTGAAGCACACCTTGGTTCGATCCTTTAACCTCTGCTTCACCGTCTGAAATGAATCTCCATTCGTATTCATGTCCTCCGTAGACCCCTCGTTGATCGCCATTTCCTGGATATCCACAGAGAGAGAGAAGGCGGAGGACGAAAGGTGACGGTATGTAGGTGAATAAAATATTGGAGGAAGAAATATGTTACCAAATGGAGAAAGAATGCTCCTATAAAGGGAATTGGCGTGTCGTATTTAACAGTTGATTAGTGAGATGCTAATAATTAAATTAATCATGATTAGCGATAATCCTGTTTTTAGTTTATTCCTTGGGAGCAATCCAAATCCTACGTGTCCGTATCAAGTTTACGTGGCATTTGAAGAAACCAGAAAACAAGACATTATAACCAAAAAAGAAACTTGCCGACTCAGATTCCATTCAGCAATAAATTTTGAATCAAAACCTCCTTTCATATTAATTTAAATTTATGTTTAATTTTAGGTAAATGTTGAATTATAGAATACCTTGTAAATTTTAATTTCTATAGCTTTTTTTAAAAAATTTTATACTTATAATTTTAACATTTTAAATTTAATATTTTATTATTTTTGAAAATATTTAGCATCAAAATTAAAAAGTCTAGAAAAATAATTAAAAAAAAACTCCAATGGTGACGTGTTAATTAAAGGTCAAGGTCAATCGGGGAAATTACAAAATGAGGGGCCCTTTACGTGATGTCACGAGAGAAGAGGAGAAACTTCTGGGTGTAAGCATAAAATATTGATATTAGCGTGTGAGCACAGTGGAGTGACTCCACGTGGATAATTAATATATACCAAACGACAAACTAGTCCTTCAGCCGAAGACAAAATTACGAAATTGTCCTGATGACATGACAACATATAATGATGAATCATGTAAAGCTCCGGGTTGTCACGCGCCTCAAGGTGCATTTAAAAAAGAAGATATAATTTTGGTAAATTCGAAGGTCACATTTTCCAATTTTTTTTAATGTAAGAAAATGTGTACATATGACACATTTAATTTCCCAATTAAAACCTGCAAAGATATATATAAATATATATATATTTCCCAGATACAAAGCCGATCCTAGAATGCGCATCAACAACTGTTCAAATTTACCTTGATATATATCATATCCATTTTTTATATGATAATGCATGGAAAATTCATGATTAATTCAAATGGCATAATTCAATCGTTTTAAACAACTATAATTATATTAATTTAGTAATGTTAGTATGTAAGCTTTAGTTTATTTTAAAATTTGTAATTTTTTTCTAATTTATTAATGTATTTTCAAATGAAAGTTTGAAGTGTTGGTAATTCATTCTTTACAAAATGAGTTATGAAAATATACTTTGAAACTCATATTAAATCATCAAAATTATAATATGAATTGGAAACGTACCTGAATCAATCATGATAGAAGAGAATAACACGTTATACAATTAATCCTCTAAATTAGTACATAGTCTTTTAGAGTTTTATTTTACTCTCTCTATTTCTGATGATGGGATATCAAAATATAATCAATTGACTATTTGTAATTTGGATATCATAATTGTATATATAGGCTAACCACTTATTAATTTTTATTATTTATAATTTGACAATTAAAAATAATAATTTGGTATTTACACATATAAATACTCATATTTAACTTGATGCATTAAAGCCCAAAACACAGTTAATATTATCAAATAACTTTAAATGGACTTAATTAATTTGATAACGTTTTATGCCTAATAATTTTTACATAAGCCCACATGGTAAATTAAAACTCATCAACCTCCAACTTACGTTATATGTGTCACCTTATAATTGTGGATTGAACAACTTTATGAGTACTCACCGAATGCATCCCAAAATGATTTTGTCCATCAATCATATCAATATAGGATCAAAGCAATTTCGCTACATTTGTCGTAACTAAACCCCTCAATGGTAATATATATCAATATAATCGAATGACATGAATCAAGTATGGATATGTAGCATGGAAATTGCATGCAATTTGATCCAAACATGTCTAGTTCTAACTTGTCATACCTTAAACCTTAATGAGATCAACTTAAGCAAGTTTAGAGATAAAATAAATCAAATTCTTTATAATTGAAAAATAATCAAATGTGCATAAGCCATATATGAAATTTACCATAACACGTGTTTAAATCTAAAAAAACTAAAGTACAAACTCACATTAAAACTACTTATCCTCAAGAGATACAACACTCATATGAACACTGTGTTCATGAAAGACCTTAGGTAGTAATCCTTTAGTGAGTGGATTAGCAACCATAGAGTCTGTTTCGTTGTGCTCTATAGATATTTGTCTACTTTGAACTCTTTCTTTAACAACTAAGAACTTGATATCTATATGTTTTAACTTATCGAGCTCCTGTTGTTATTGGAATACAAAACTGCTGACTTATTGTTACAAAATAACTTGAGTGATCTTTTTATATCATCCACAATACATAGCCCAATGACAAACTTTCTATAATAACCTTAGGTCTTTACACTTAAACGTGGTGTGAAAACTCTATTTAGGCCTTAAGGTCGTTATATTTAATATTTTGCGTATATTTGTAAATGCATGCTTTTAAAACTAACTTGTGCTTTAGATAATTTTTAAAATATGCATATATAGACTTTTGGTATTATCAAGGAAGAGAGAGAAAAATAGAGAAAAATTTGAAAAACAAAAGATGGGGAGAAAATCCCCTGGGTGGGGAAAAATCGATGGACTCACAAGAAAACTCTCGCGGCCACGAGCATGCGTGCCCACGCGCTTACGCACATACATGCGAAGGCATACGTGAATGGTGCTATATTGAAGCGTCAACTCACCACTACTTTAATATTGATCCTCCTCGATAATACAAGACACTTCCAGGTTTACGGTGATGCATCTCGTGTTAGTTTGAGTTGTGTCCTTATACAACATGGTTGTGTGGTTACGTATGGATCCCAGTAGCTGAAGCCCCACAAAGGCAACTACCCCACGCATGACCTTGAGCTTGCCATTATTGTTTTTGAAGATATGCATCACTACTTGTACGGTCAGACTTTTGAGATCTATACAAATTACAAGAGCCTAAAGAACTTATTCTCTCAGAAGGAATTGAACATGAGATAGAGGCGTTGGATGGATCTTCGTAATCATTACAACTGCAAAATCATTTACCACAAGGGAAATGTGGTCGCATATGCCCTTAGTCTCAAGGACTTAGTCATACTGGCCCAGTTGATGGTTTTTAGTTGGAGGATGCTTGAGATAATCCAAGACCTCAAGATTAGTCATCATGGAGAAGGCGCGTATCTCACCCAAATCCATATCCAACCAAATATCCTTATGCAGATTTAGAAAGCCCAAGCAATGGACTAGGAGATTTTGAAGCACATAGACAAATTCGTTTTCAAGGACAACTCTAGTTTTAGGATTTTGAATGATGGACTGTACCGATTTTGAGATCGCATATGGGTGCCTAGCGACTCAAAATTTAGATTAGATCTCCTAAAAGAAGTCCATTCATCCAAATTGTCCATCCACCTTAGCAGTATTAAAATGTATCGTGATATGAGGCGTCGTTTTTGGTAGTCTGAAATGAAGAAAGAAATTGTTGAGTACGTCTCTCAGTGTCTCACATACCAGAGGATTAAGGCAGGGCATCAGAGACTAAGTGGCCTTTTACAAAATCTCCCCATCCCCGAGTGAACATGAGAGCACGTGACTATGGATTTCATCACTGGTTTGCCCAAAACTAACTCTAATCATGATGTCATATGGGTCATTGTGGACAGACTGACCAAGTCTGCCCACTTTTTTATAATTAAGACTACTGACTCGACAAATAAGTTGGCTCGGTTATACATCGAGGAGCTTATCCGACTCTATGGAGTTCTTATTTTTATGGTGTCAGACAAGGACCCTCATTTCACCTCTAACTTCTGGGATAATTTCCAAGAAGCCTTTGGCTCCAACCTCTATTCCAGTACTGCTCACCCTCCCCAAATCGATGGATAGTATGAGTGCACTATCCAAATGCTGGAGGATATATTAAGTGCATGTGTACTGGATTTTCATGGCAGTTGAGATATGCACCTTCCCCTTTGCGAGTTTTATTATAACAACAACTACTATTCCAATATCGGTATGGCTCCATTTGAAGCTCTTTATGGTAAGTCTTGTCGATCTCTAACTTATTAGAATGAACTTAGGAAAAGGCATCTCCCTACTACAGAATACGTCTAGGAAACTATTGACAAGATTGATGTCATTCGACAAAATTTTGTCACTACACAAAATCGGCAGAAGAGCTATGTTGGCATTCAGAGAAGACCTCTAGAGTTGGCGACCATGTCTTTCTAAAGGTCTTTCCATACAAGGAAATGATACGGTTCTAGAAGAGATGAAAGCTTAGTCCTCATCACATTGGACTTTTTGATATCATAAAACGTGTTGGCCCCATAGCATACTGTCTCTCCCTTCCCCATAATTTTATGGCCTTCACGATGTTTTTCACGTCTCCATGCTTAAAAAATATCATCATGACCCTTTTCACATCATTTCGTATCAATAGATTCCCGTTAACTCGGGCATGACCTACACAGAGTACCCGACGAAGATTATCGATCAAATGAAGAAGATTCTACGCAGCAAAAAGATCCCAATGGTCAAGGTGCTATGGCGACATCGCACACTAGAGGAAGTGATGTGGGAACTTAAGGAAGAGATGTGGGATAATTTTTCGAGTTGTTCTGAAGGAAACTACAAATTTGGAGGACAAAATTTAATTGAGGTGGGGAGAATGTAACACCCCTAGGCCTCTACGCTTAAATGTAGTGTTGAAAACTCTATTTGGGCTTTAAGGCCGTTTATATTTAATATTTTGCGTACATTTTATAAATGCATGGTCTTAAAACTAACTCATATCTTAGAGAATTTTTAAAATATGTATACAAGATGTTTTGATATTTTTAGGGAAGAGAGAGAAAAAATGGAGAAAAAGCATAAAAATGGAAAGTAGAGAAAAAATCCCCCTGACCGGGAAAAATCCACGAATGCGCGAAAAAACTCCCGCGGCCGCGAACCTGCATGCGTGTGTGTTGCACTGCACGCACAACGTGCCCATGCCCTATATGCCAGCAAGGCATGGCTCTACCTGCCGTGCAGGTCCCACCGTGGCAGCCTCT